GTTAGTTAATATTACTCAGTACTTAAATGTATAATTACACTGTAACAAGGACACCTTAAAATAAAGTGTAACCGAATAATTATGAGTCAAACAACAATGATCTAAAGATATCAATTATTTAAATGCACTTGATGGAATTGTTTTGGGCGTGTGTACCTTCCTTAAATACTGTTTACAGACTTTGCACTAATATAGGTCAGTAAAATTAACAAAAAAAAAACTGACCCGAGGGAGCCGCAGAACAAACTGACTCTCCAGCTCATGAGGAGCATCTTCTTTGCTTTTGGAGCCCACCTTTCCTTTTTATTCACATTTATTACACATTTACACACTCTCTCTCTCTCTCTCTCTCTCTCTCTCTCTCTCTCTCACACACACACACACATACTAATAGCAGGCCTAGACAATAGGAGAACAGAGTGAAGGTACACAGGACATAATATTTCCACTCTTTTACTAGCTCTGAGTCCCGAAGGGGGTGTACAGCGAGTGGTCATTGAAAATTTGTTCTGATATATGTTCTTCACAGAAAATGAGCCAAGGCCAATGAGTCTGAGTTTGAAAAAAAATAATTAATAGTAGCCTATCATTTTTCTTTTGATAAAAATTGAAGACGGGTCCCACAGACCCGAACACCAAGGGTTAAAAAACATTAATAAGCAGTGAAGCAATATATATATATATATGTTGTAATATATACAATATTACCTATATATATATATATATATATATATATATATAATATACATTTTTATATATAATTAAATATAAATATATTATATATTAAATATTTGTCCGCAAATCAAAGGCAGCTTGGCATAATCAACATACAGGAAGCCATTTTGGTGTCATGTGACATTAAAATCATAAAACAGAGAGGGCCCCTTTAGACCCTCATGACTGTTTCATTATATTTTATTAAGTTTACAAATTTACATAGACCTTTATAATGAACAGAAACGTTTTGTTCTGGATTTAAATCTTGAAATTTGTAATTTAAAACTGCATAATATAGAAATGTTTTTTTTAAACATACTTATGAAAAGAATGATTACGTTGTTTACACTCAAGTGTACTGAAGATGCAAGAAAAGTATTTTAGTATTTTTTACACACGTGAAACATATAGTAGGCTATATACTCACATATATCGCCTAAACAATAAACTAAACAGTCTTCTTGTTTAAACTGTAGTAACACTACTATCAACAATATACAAACCAAAGAAACAACAATAATTCTAGTAATAATAATGACTGGTAACGTAAAAAATAAATACTTATTGGCTAATAAGCCATTATTACTTCTATGATTAATCATCAAGATCAGAGTAAAAGTTTTATTTGTGCTTATATAGCTTAAATTACAAGGCAGTCTCTTGCATTGACGCTTGATACTTTAGTGTTCTTTTCTTTTTCCAAAGCACAAAACGCGATTATCAAACAACAATGTCGTTTAGTTCATAACAAGTATCTAATCGTAGCCTAATGTATGCAATGTTAATGAGCAATAATGAGGGCGACTGCTCTTTCTGAAAGCCCAGCGTGACACAAAACTCCAACATGCATGAAAAACTATTGTCCTGCCTTTCACGTCTTTCTCTCAAACAGTTAGCCCCTCGTGTATTTTCGACAGGTCCCAATAATCGAGCCCCCATCAGAACAGCAGATTGGAAGCGCTATTCGGCCGCAGACAACGGCAGGTTAGTGAATCCGCTCTCCGCTCCCAAGGGGTGTCAACGCGGCTGCAAGCTGTCACAATGAGGCGGGGTGCAAGCGCACTCACTTTACTTTAGAGGCTCATATAAGGATGTCCACTGCGTGTGATGGGGATTTTTCTTTTCTTTATTTAGTCTCTGTGGCAGTCCGTGACAGGGGTTATCTATGGCATGTTTTGAGCTTTATTTGTAAGATAAACAAAAATCAGACCTCTTAGTACAGTGACAACAGGTGCACTAAAGCTTAATGATAAAAAAAAAAAAATCAGTTTAAACCTAAAATGTTAAATGAAATGAATCTATTATCAAATAACCCATATAAATAACAAATGGCATAATGGCTGCTTTTTTAAGGCTACTGCACTGCATTGGTTTTCCTTCAATTGTCCAAACAGTCAAAATCCTTAATGGCTCAAGCAATCTTTTCATTTAAAGACACAGAACATGCCCTCGGATTTACTTGCAAAGTCAAGCTAATATTATTTATTTATATGTCATTAAATCAAAATGACTCAAATTACTTTTTATGGTCAGGCCATGTGTAAGCCTGCATAAGAAATGGGTATAATTATTAAGTAAATACATAAATATAAAATATAATAGTAATAAACATAAATACACTCTTAAAAATTGTAAGTCGCTTTGGATAAAAGCGTCTGCTAAATGACTAAATGTAAATGTAAATGTAAAAATAAAGGTGCTTCACGATGCCATAGATGAACCTTTTTTGTCTAAATGGTTCCATAAAGAACCTTTAACATCTGAAGAACCTTTCTGTTTCACAAAAGGTTCTGTGTGGCGAAAGAAGGTTCTTCAGATTATAAAAAGGTAAGAAAGAGATGGTTCTTTAAAGAAACTTTGACTGAATGGTTCTTTGTGGAACCAAAAATGGTTCTTCTATGGCATTGCTGTGAAAAACCTTTAAGCTCCTTTATTTTTAAGAGTGTATACAATATAAAAAATACAATATAATGTAAAAATTTCATATATATATATATATATATATATATATATATGCAATGTTAAGACTTTGAACTTTTTAAAGCTTCACAATTCTGCAAAAAGTTGTACCGACACCACGTCACAACTTTCATTTATTTTTTAATATTTTTATATGACTTAAAACACTGATTAAGCTTTAGTGATTGACAATGGCCATACAAAATTCTAGAATGCTTCAACCACAGTAAATGTTACACAAGTTGGACAGTGCATAGAATGAACAATTAATGCAGAGGACAGAAAATCAGGAGCTTGACACACCAAATGGAGATGCACAGAAACGCCCTCTAAAAATCTGTCTCTCAAACACTTGTATTTAACGTACAACCTCTG